TTATGTCTGTGTATTAGCATCCACCACCTATAACCTACTATAAGATGATCCAAGTGGACAATGGAGTTTGAAGTGGACAAATCAAACTTATAGGTAGTATTGTTTTGGTGGAAACTTTTTATGCTTGTTTGTTATAAAGCACAATGGACTATATGTGCTCTACCAATCGCCGTTATTGAATCTCGATTTTTAACGTTATAAGCACACTGACTTACCTCTATGTCACCGGGGAGAGGCGGGGGTTCTAGTGGCAACCTAATTAAGAAACAGAGTAACACGTATTAATTCCAACGAAACTTTTGCTGCTATGTTACAATTGCTTCCTCACTTTGCACAATTGATAGAATTATAACCCATTATCAAAAACAACACCAAAAATTAAGATTATTTGTGAGAATTACCCCTTTAATTAAATAAATATAAAAATAAAACATAACTTGGATAAAGAGAGTTTTCGGAAAATATAATTGCTAATATTTCGTCATTTTGCCTGAGCTATATTAGCTGAGGACAATTTTTGATAATGTTCCCTTTCCTTCTTCCAGTTGTCTTCAACTATGCCAGTTGAGGACAAAGTTCGATAATGTTCCCTTTCCTTCTTTTTCTTTTGTCTGTATCTATGCTAGCTGAGGAAAATGTTCGATAATGTTCTCTTTCCTTCTATCTTTTGTTTGTATCTATGCTAGCTGAGGACAATGTTCGATAATGTTTTCTTTCCTTCTTTTTTGTTTGTATCTATGCTAGCTGAGGAAAATGTTCGATAATGTTCCTTTTCCTTCTTTCAGTTGTCTTTAGCTATATTAGCTGAGGACAATGTTCGATAATGTTCTCTTTCCTTCTTTTTGTTTGTATCTATGCTAGCTGAGGAAAATGTTCGATAATGTTCCTTTTCCTTCTTTCAGTTGTCTTTAGCTATATTAGCTGAGGACAATGTTCGATAATGTTCTCTTTCCTTCTTTTTTGTCTGCATCTATGCTAGCTGAGGACAATGTTCGATAATGTTCCCTTTCCTTCTTCCAGTTGTCTTCAACTATATTAGCTGAGGACAATGTTCGATAATGTTCTCTTTCCTTCTTTCTTTTGTCTGCATCTATGCTAGATGAGGACAATAGTAGATAGTGTTCTCCTTCCTTCTATCTTTTGTCTTTAACTATGCTAGATGAGGACAATGTTCGATAATGTTCCTTTTCTTTCTTTTGTTTGTCTTTATCTATGCTAGTTGAGAACAATATTAGATAATGTTCCTTTTTCTTCTATCTTTTGTTATGAAATCCCTAATTATCTTATTAAATCTTAATTGTGTATTCTGTTTTGTGAAAAATAATAATTGACTCATATAACTTATTAACTACTTGTATCTTTAAATTCAAAACCCAAAGTCTAAAAAATGTGTCCTGTTTCAGGATGTTTCCTAAAACACAGTAACCCTATACACCGTCGTTGTTGCCATACCAAACATTACGATAATCAAGACAGTTAATTCTGGGTGGTGGATACTAATACACAGACATAATGGATCATCTTATAGTAGGTTATAGGTGGTGGATGCTAATACACAGATATAAATAAGAAACCC